ATTGCAGAAAGTGGAAGGGTTAAAGTTCTGAGGTTCACTCTACATACTCTGTGTTCCTCCACTGGAGGCAAAGGAAGTTATTAGTCCTCCTTGGAAATGTCTCATCCCATGGGTGATGAGACTGCCTAGGCTGGAAAGCAATGCTAATGTACTCTCCACCAGTGGGGTTTGTTTTTTCTCATAGCATAGGCACATCAGGAATACAAGACAATTAATACAATAAAAATTAGAAAGTTTGGACCTAGTGAAAGGGGCTCAAGGAGACTTCTTTTAGTCTAAGTCTTAGATCAGAGGACAAAGGAATACCCACTCACAAGCAGTTAAGAACAGCTCATTATATTTAGGGCTTCCACAGAGGGCTTTTAGCAGAGTCCAGCGCAATGAAGAATATGCATTTGGTAAGAAAATCTGTCCTGCAGAACTCTGCAGAAACCAAGAGTGCTAGATGACTATCATTGACATTTGGGGTCCTGCCTAGCCACTCCTCAAACTCTCCACCACAGCCAATAACACAAACTCACCCTAAATCTTACCAATCTGACAGTGACATTTACTCCTTCCAAGAACCCTCTCAGTAACATTAATCTTCAGTCAAGACTCTTTCTTATATTCTGCCACATCTAGATGCAAAAGATGAGGCTATTAGTATCAAAACAGGACAGCTGTGGAAGGAGAATACCAACACAAATCCCAGTTGTCCCTGAAGCTACACATGTCCCTCATATTCAAATCCTCACACATGAGAGCTAATTCCTTCTACATTATAGGTGACTGGATGATAACCTTTTTGGTCATGCTCTTTAATCTTCAACCAGGGTATTTTTAAAAACCACAACATTGAAGGAGTTCATAGGATAAGTTCAGATTTCCCTCAGCTTCAATGTTTTGAGTTCCAAAAGAAATGGCTTACTACAGTGCAATCATTTTGGTAACCTGCTGCCTACCAACTAGATGCCACACTTAAAAAGTTATTTCAATTTCTCTGAAAAACACCACAAAAACTGAAGAAACACTTCATAAGAATGCACGTGTAATTATTAAAAAGCTTGTAAAAATATATACACAAAATAAATGCATAAGATTTAGGAAATCACTGAGTTTTGTTTTTTTTTTTTTTTTGAAAAAAGAAAAGAAATGCCATAGAATTAAACTCAAGATTAAGTTTCAAGTTTTGAATATATTTCAAAATTGAGAATCAACAATGATGAACATTATTCTTCTTCCTACGTAGTCAATGTTTTAACAAAACAACTAGTGTCTGTCTCTCTCTCTCTCTCTCTCTCTCTCTCTCTCTCTCTCTCCATATTTTTATTGGTGCATTATAGCTGTACATAATGATGGGATCTGTTGTTACATATTTGTACATGCACATAGTATTACTCCATAGCAGTTTCCCCTCCTTCTTCACTTGTCACCTCTGGTTCCTTTCCTCTAATAATCTCCCTCTGATTTTCATGAGATCTCTCCCACAACTTTCTTTTCTTTTTTCCTCTCTGGTTTCTATAAATGAGAAAAAACATAGGCCCTTGATAATAAGCTTGCTTATTCATTTAACATAATAGTTTGTAGTTCCATCCATTTTCCTACACATGACATAATTTCATTTTTCTTTATGGCTGAATAAAACTTCTTTGTATATACATATCTATTTTCTTTATCCACTCATCCATTGGTAGACTCCTAGGCTGGTTCCATAGTTTGGCTATTGTGAATTGTGTTGTTATAAACATGACGTAGGTATCACTATTGTTTTGATGACTTCAATTCTTTAGGATAAATACCAAGGAGTAGTATAGCTAGGTCATATGGTGGTTCCATGCCTAGTCTTTTGAGGAACCTCCATACTGATTTCCACTGTAGTTAGACTAATTTACAATCCATCCAACCATGTAAAAGTGTTCCTTTATCTCCACATCCTTTCCAGTATTTATTATTTGTATTCTTGGTGACTGCCATTCTTACTAGTATGAAATGAAATCTCAATGTAGTTTTGCTTGGATTTCTCTAATTGTTAATGATGTTGAACATTTTTTCATATATTTGTTGGCCATTTGTATTTCTTCTTTTGAGAAGTGTCTGTTTAATACATTTGCCCATTTAATAATTGGGTTATTTGATTTGTTGGTGTTAATTTTTTGAGTTCTTCATATATTCTAGATATTAATACCCTGTTAGAAGAGTAGCTAGCAAAATTTTCTCCCATTCTGTAGGTTCTCTCTCATTCCTAATTGTTTCCTATGCTGTGCAGAAGCTTTTAAATTTGAGGCCATCCATTTATTAACTCTTCAGCCAGGCTCTTCTTTCATTTGTGACTTAAAAGAGAAAGAGGTACTACTCTTGACAAGATTTGACAGAACATGACACTACTCCTAACAAGACTTGACAGAACATGACAAGATCTATCATGACAAGAAATTGATTCTTCAGCTATAGTGCCTTCCTTTCTCCCACGATTAACTAAGTCAGAGCATTGCCTCACCCACAGGAATCACCTGCACATTTTTAGAGACCTAGAGTTACTCCTGTAAATGCTGAAGAACCCATGCAATGTGAAGGCCCAGGCTAGAAAGCAATGCTAAAATACTCTCCTTTCAGTGGGGTTTGTACACAGGGGCAGAATTTAGAGCTCCTTGGCAGGGGCAAATATACAAGTTGCTATAAACATAGTATTTAAATTATTTAATATAGTCCAACTGTTGACTTCTAAAATCTCTCCTTAGAAAAAGAAGAGCTTAAACTCTGTTTGCTGACAACATGATCCTACATTAATAGGACCCCAAAAACTCCACCAGAAAACTTCTGAAACTCATAAATGAATTCAGCAAAGTAGCAGGATAAAAAACTAACACTCATAAATCATTTGTGTTACTATACACCAATGATGAATCCACTGAAAGAGAAATTAGAAAAACTATCCCATTCACAATAGTCTCAAAAAAAACCAATAAAATACTTGGGAATCAATTTACCAAAAAGAGGTGAAAGACCTCTACAATGAAAACTACAGAACACTTAAGAAAAAAATTGAAGATCTTAGAAGACAGAAAGATCTCCCATGTTCTAGGATAGGCAGAATTAATATAGTCAAAATGGACGTACTACCAAAAATGCTATATGAATTTAATGCAATCTCTATTAAAAATCCAATGACATTCTTCATATAAATTTAAAAAAGCAATCATGGAATCCATATGGAAAAAATAAGAGACAAATAATAGCCAAAGCAATCCTTAGTGAAAGAAGGAAGCAGGAAGCATCAAAATACCAGACCTTAAATTATACTACAGAGCTATAGTAACAAAAACAGCATGGCATTGGCACCAAAACAGGCATGAAGACCAATGGAATAGAATATAAGACACGGAGACAAACCCACATAAATACAGTTATCTCATGCTAGACAAAGGCATCAAAAACATACAATGGAGAAAAGTTCCTCTTCAACAAATGGTGCTGGGAAAACTGGAAATCTATACATAATAGAATGAAATTTAGTCTCTATCTCTCACCTTGCACAAAACTCAACTCAAAGTGGATCAGGGACCTAGATATTATACCAGAAACCCTGCACCTACTAGATGAAAATGTAGGCCCAATACTCTAACACGTTGGCTTAGGAAACAACTCCCTCAATAAGACTCCTAAAGCACAAGAAGTAAAACAAAAAATCAATAAATGGAATGGTATCAAACTAAAAAACTTCTTCACAACAAAGGAAAAAACTCAAAAGTGTGAAGAGACAGCCTGAAGAATGAGAGAAAATCTTTGTCACCCACACATCAGGAATTAATTTCCAGGTATAAAAAGAACTCAAGCAAAAAGCTTAACAACGGGGACTGGGGTTATAGCTCAGGGGTAGAGCGCTTGCCTCGCTCTTATGAGGTACTGTGTTCGATCCTCAGCACCACATAAAAAATAAATAAGTAAAATAAATAAAGATATTTTTTAAAAAAGCTTAACAACAAAAACAACAAAACCCCAATAATAAATGGATAAATGCGCAAAGGAACTAAACAGACACTTCTCAAAAGACTAAGTATGAACAAATATATAAAAGAATGTTCAACATCTCTAGCAACTAGAGAAATGCAAATTAAAATTCACTGAGATTTTAACTTATACCAATTAGAATGACAATCATCAAGAATACAAGTAACAACAGATATTGGCACAAATGTGGGGAAAAGGTACACTCATTCACTGGTGGGACTGCAAATTAGCACAACCACTCTGGAAAGCAGTATGGAGATACTAAAAGAACTAGGAATGGAATTTGACCCAGTTATCCCACTCCTCTGTATATATCCAAAGAATTTAAAATCAGCATACTGCAGTGACACAGCTACATCAATTTTTATAGATATATGATTCACAATAACTAAGCTATGGAGCCAACCTAGATGCCCACCAACAGATGAATGAATAAAGAAATTGTGGTATAGATACACAATAGAATATTACTCAGCCATCAAGAAGACTTTATGACATTTGCCAGTAAATGGATGGATCTGGAGACTAATATGCTAAGTGAAATGTCAATCCCATAAAACCAAAGGTCAAATGTTCTCTCTGATATGTGGAAGCTAACCCACAATAAGGGGGTGGTGATGAGTAGAATTTTAAAGGATTAGACAAAGAGGAATGAAGGGAAAGGAGAGGGTATATAAATAGAAAAGACAATGGAAAGAATCTGACATATTTTCCTATGTGTACATATAGAACACACCACAGTGAAACCTACCATTGGGTACATCCACAAGACCAGGGCCATAATTAGAATAAGATATATTCCTTGCATGTATAATTTTATCAAAATAAACTTTATGGTCATGTATAACTAAAAAGAACTAATAAAAAATTAAAAACAAAACTTCTCCTTCTCTTGGCTTCTATGACAACCCTGATTTCCCTCCTTTTCAGACTTCTTTATCGCCTTTTGTCCAACCTCTCCTTACACAGTTCTCTTTGGCCATCTTTTCACTGATCTCCCTCCAGAGGGGGAGGGCTCATTTATTCTCATGGCTTTTAAAATTACCTTTGGCTCAGTGTACAACAGCTGCAAACAGCAGCCTCCTTGGTAGTGTACACAGCCTGTGGCTTGTATGGGCTGCCTTAAGGCTCCTTGGAGATGGCCCTTTCCGTGGATGTTCATGTCTCTAATCTTGTGGTTCCCAATTATGACATCAAGTAGTATGTGGGGTGCCTTTAGAAAGCCCCAGGGCATGGTGGGCAGTGCCTACTTTGGCCAAGTCATCACATCTATCTGCACAAAGATGAAGAACAAGGATACCAGTTTAAGCACCTGGGCCTCCAGAAAATTCACATCTCAAAGAAGAGAGGCTTCACCAAGTTTAATGAGAATGAATGGTAGCTGAGAAGCAGCCCATCCCAGATGGCTGTGGGGTCAAAATATTCCTCATCATGGTCCCCGGGACAAGTGGTGGACCCTACACTCATGATGGCTTCCATTGTGCTGCCTGCTTCCTTAATCAGATCCACAAATAAATAGTGCTTCCTGTCTTCAGAAAAAAAGAAATTATTATCAGGTTGACGTTCCCAGATTTCTGTCCTAAACACAGAAAATTCCTGGTCTCCAGACTAGTGTGTCTAAATGGACATCTACATAAGACCATTCAGTGCTCTAATACCTTAAACTCTGCAAGTCTAAAATGAACTTTTTAACTTTTTCCCAGGATCATATCTTCCTTTCCTATTGCTTCATAGTTAATGGCATCTCCTTATGCCAATTACACCAAATAAAAATGAAGAAGACTCCCAACTTGCTATATCTGTTATCAGCACCTATAATATCTCATCTTTGTATCTCCATTTCACTCCAGTGCCATGCCTTCAGGACAACCTATCTCGTCCTCATGCAAAGTCCCCCACATCTATCCCACATTATTGCCGACAACTTCTCTGCAACATTCTTTTATATATCTAGCTGATCCCTTAATTTACCATTATTTATCTTCCCTTTAAAACTATTTATAGTATGTAGAAAATGTAAATCTCTTAGCAAAGAAATCTGGACTTGACAACTCACTCTCTTACTAGTCTAATCTTCTATCACATCTTTTTAAGCACACATTACTCTTGCCATTGCTTATGTATGCAGAGTTCACCAAGGTTCTGTTTTTAACAATTCTTCTCCCTGAGTTCATGTTTGTATTTTTATTCAGCTGTGCCTTGTTTATGTCATTCCCTGAGCCAGAAATGAATTCTCTCGCCCTTAACCATAATATTGTATACAATACTCAAGTTCCAGCTCAAATACTAGCCCCTTTGATATCATTATTTACATTCCTGTATTGTTGCCTATATTACTAAGAGAATATGTTTAAGCATTAACTACCCTATTTGGGGAGCTGCTTCAGAGCAAGGACTCTGTCTTGATAATCATCATATGCCTACACTATTTATCTCTGTACATTCACATTAAGTAGACAGGCCGCCAAAAATATTTAGTGAATAAATTAGTTCTCTTTGCTCCAGTGCTCCATGATTATTTGTTTCTAAATGTAAGATGTATTTTTTTTAAAAAAAGAACTGTGATAAGCAGATTACATACAGTCTAACCCTCTCTTAAGCAAACTTTTTTCTCTCAGTTTATGAGTATTTATAAAACAGAGCTTAAGAAAACAGATAAACTGCTATTCAACAAATATTATTTGTTTAAGTGAACAACACTGCATCCATTTCATATCATTCCAAACCTAACTAGAATCTATATTCCTTCTCCGTAGATCACTTTGAGGTCAACTATCCTCAGTAAAAGCAACTTTTACACCATAGTTTTAATCATTAAATAGAATGAAATATAAACATAATATGCTACTTAAAAAAAAAAAACAAACCTGCAGCCACATTTCTTGAAGAACTGATGGTAACCATTATGGAGTCATTCAAGCAGAAAGACTATCAAAAATTCAAAATTTACAATGTGAAAGAGAAAAGGCCTATTTTGACTTATAGTTTCAGAAGTTTAAGTCAATGGTCAATTGGCTCTGTTGTTTTTGAACCTGTGGAAATGCAGAACATCATGGTGGGGAACACATGGGGAAGCAAAGCTACTTAACCTCATGCCGTCTGGGACGTGAAAGAGAGAGAAAGGAAGGGGCCAGGATCCCAGTATCCCTTTCAAGAGATGCCCCCAATTATATAACTTCCTTCCATTAAGTCCTGCCTCCTGAAGGTTTCACCATCTCCCAAAAGCACTATCAGCTAGAGTCTTCAACATGAGAACCCTGAGGAACAAGAGTGAGTACGTTCAAATAGATTCACATTCAAACAGACAATATAAAGAAATAAAAAAAGACTTCATTCTTTATTAAATATTATTTGATTATCCCTCCAGAATCATTCTCTACCCTTCCATTCTTTTCTGTGCTCTGTACTAAGAGGCTGACCTGCGTCAGATTCTCTTGCCTCCTAGCTTCTCACTGGGTCTAGCCAATGGGAGGCAACAGATTATAGGAAAGAAGGAGAGCAGTTGGGACACTTATTTCCTTGGATTCCTCCCTGCCTGGATACAAGCAGTGACTATGTTCCTGCTCCCATTGAACATCCCTCTCTCCTACTCTCAGTTCTTATGATTTCTAGTAATGATTCCCTCTCTTTGCCCCTTCAAGCTTGGACTAATGATTGGAACATGATTGCAGTGATGACTCTGTAGTTACAAAACAACCATGACTTCCTTCTTAGGTACTTGGTCTCTTGCTTGCTCTGCAGTTTCAACCTCAACTGTCATGTTAGAAGCTGTCCTATTGAGGGTCATATGGCAAGGAACTGAGAAAGCCCACCTGCCAACAGTCAGTTAGCAATTAAGACCCTTAGTAAAACAGTCTGCAAGGAATTGAATTCTGCTAACAATCATATGAGTGGGCTCGGAAGTAGCTCCCCCACCACTCAAGTCTTCAGATGGGCCTTCAGCTAAGCCACCAGGCTCATGAGAGATCCTGAGCCAAGAAAACCCAAGTAAGTTGCACCCAGATTCCTAATCCACCCAAACTGTGAGAAAATAAATGGTTGTTGCCTTAATTTGATAATATTTAGGATAGTTATACAGCAATAGTAAATAATATATATATATACTGAGCCAGACATCTCATCCAGTTCTATTTTAAAATATTTATATTCCTGTATAATTACAATCTACAGAAACTAACAGAAGAGTACCAAGAGAAGGATATAAAAATTTAAAATATTAGCATACATGGTCTTTCTTCAAAAAGAAATGAGAGACTAAAACTGACTAATAAAGGACTAAGATTTTAAAATTTAAAAAATTCAAGTAGAAAAGAGTTTTCTTGGGAGAAAATGTGATATTTTTAAAAGATTTCAGAAATGTTTTTTCTACTTCTGTTTTTCCCATCACAAAGCAAACAGCATTAACCTATACTAAATTTTTAAAATAAGGACTAAGGAAGGGAAAAACTAATGAAAGATAATGTAAAAATCTATATAGGTTTCATTCTGTAAGTTTTCATGACTTGCTTTTAGGATACTAAAAGGAACTGAACGAGTCTCTTGGAAATCATTTGTCATATAATTGTTTAAAATAGAGGACATACAATGAATAGAAGTTATAAATATATTATGGCTATGACTTTGAGTATGACTATTAAAAAAATAGTCCTAGAAGTTACTGGTATTCAAGTTAACATCGAGTATGGGGGGAATGTTACCTAAAAACTAATTAAAATAAGTGATTGGAAAGTCAATTTTCCAACTTTATCAATGAATCAGGAACCTATAAGAATGCAATGCTCCAAGGTGAACAGGATTCAATTTGAAGTATAATGAGATTGAGAATGATCAAATGGCAGAACATGCTCTTCATAATTAGAACATGGTTTCAAAGTAGATCCACAATAGGAAGAACACTCATTCTGAGAGACACTGTCATATATTACAACTGACAGGGAAAATGCAAAAAGAAATTCAGTGTAACAACTTTATATGAGGTTAGATTAGCAAATGACATAAGTCAAAATTACCCTTAATATCTCTCAGGAAGACTGTAACAAAGACTGTAACATCTCTCAGTGAATCCAACTCAACCAGTCTTTCTTCCAGCACTAGAATAGATCTTTATTTTATATTTTTTCTTCTGTAAATCAAATGAAAAAGTTGGATCATATTGTGTAAAATCACATGTTTTTCAACACCAAAATCACTTCCAGTATGGCAAAAGGCTCCCATGAGAGGCAGGCACATGGTAACTGAGATGTCTATGGAACAGCAGGTTCACATCTCACACCTCAGGCTCATTCCAGGAATAGCATAGGGAATCGCTCAAATCATCAGATATTCTTCACCACCTCCCCATTCCTCCCTACCTCTCTCCCACTGCACTCCCATAATATAATGTATATATGATAACTAACTGCTGCAGTTGAACACGGTGGGGGAAAAATCTAGTTACAGTCACACACTGAGGTCTAGGCCATAGTCACATCCTTACCATGTTTCACTTCCACACTGGGATTATAAAATACCTACTAGGAAAGACAGGAGAATGGAAACAGCTTTGCTTTCAAAGTCAAGGAAATTGGCTCTAAGAGATGAGCTCTACCCTACATTAGTAATGTGAATATGAGCTTACTTCTTAACTTCTCTAGGATTCAGCTTTCTCTTTTTAAAACTATAAGCATGAGCTGGGAATGTGGCTCACTGGTAGAGTTTTTGCCTTGCATGCTCAAAGCCCTGGATTTGATTCCTAGTGCCACAAATAAACAAATTTTTAAAATAAATTTTTAAAATGTAAGCACATTATTCTAGATAGTAATGTCTCTAATTTTCAGTCTAGATTATGTCTCAATTTCCCACTACATCATGTTTTGAAATCTTTTTTATTTTCCTAATACCATCAAAAATTTAGTGGCTAATGTTTGAAAGGTTGGGCTCTGAAATCTAGTAGACCTATGTTCAAATCTGTAGCTGTAATTTTCTGAGACAATGTGCAATTTTCTAACCCTTCTAAACTTCTGTTTTACCATTTTAAATGGAGACAATAATGTCCTTTTTGCAATAAGATTGCTATAAAGATAAATTAGATAGTACATATAAATCACATAATATAGTGTCTAACACATTGTATGCTAAATGAATGTTGCTGATGATGTTACATGC